CAACTGTCTTAATTGCAATTTTCACTATTTAACTGTTTATATGGTTATTCTAACCGTATTAAAACTAACTTAAGTATTAAAATTATTTTAATTCAATAAGTACTTTCCTTAAGTTGATATGGACCCAGAAAATTTTCTGAAAAAAGTTAATAATTTCAACAACACTTCAAAAAATGTTTTATATTTTTTTTAATTATATAAAAATAATAATGAAAAATATATTTTTAACGTATTACATAACTAAAAATTATTTTGGAACACAAAACATTTACTATATCAAAACTTTAAACTATTAAATATGTCAAAACCTGGTGAGCCCTTGTATACTTTGATTTTAATGTATATTATTTTAACAAAAATACTATAAACATAATATGAACTGAGAAAATTAAAGTAGAGAAACAGCTATAACAAGAGGAACACGTAATAAGGGAAGTAAAAAATAAAACTAGCAGAAAATCTCCATTCTTTTAAACACTCTCAGTTGTAACACTGATTATGAACTTATATTATTCATTGATTTTGTTTTACATCATATAATAGAAAAAAATTATAAAATTACATAATATTAAACTATTATAATATACTAAAAATATCACAATGAACTTATTTTAATATGTAATTTCATTATAAAGTTTTGTTAAAAAAAAAAATAATAACGTTTATATATTCAATTATTGAATCTTACTACATGCATAGTAAATTAAGCAATCATTATTTTGCGAGAAAAGTATCTATTATTATGACAAAAGCGCCGCAGGGTTGTATTCATACCCACGTCATACGCAGATAATATTATTTCAAAAGAGAAATTGTTAAGTGTACTTATAATACATATCTGTCAATTAATAATTGCCAGTGGCTATAAAACCCCTCGCGTCTATTTCAAAACTTAATTTTGGAGACCATATTAAAACTAAAAGCTTAGTTTCTCTAGAAAACGTATAAAACAACTGTTTTAAACACAACTATAAGGAATTATATTGCACTTAATTGGGTTTTGTATGATTTTAAGATTATAACAGGTTTTCTTTGTAATTCTGTTCAAGAATCTACTTGATAAGCCTTTAAGGGATTTGATTGTGCATTATATGAATTTAACCACATGCATTGTTATAAAATTTTAACACGAATTTTCAGTAATAGAATACTTTGATACATACATCGTTTGATCAGAAACTAAACCTAAATATGTTTATTTTTTGTCTTTCAAGCTGCTAATGAGGAAGCTTAAAAATTGATTCAACCACTACATAATATTACTCAAAGTAGTATGTTAAAATAGGTTAACAAATTAAAAATCAAACTCAAATTTATATTCTATAAAATAAGGTAAGTTTATCGATACACCCCAAAATTTACTTAACTCTTTTTTAACGAAATCAAATAATAAAATGTAAAAACAAATGTTTTTTTTTAACATATTAATTGTTTAAACACTAATTAGTTATTATTTCAAAAACTATATTTGATCGAAAAGATTTAAAACCATATTCAGAATCGGCATCTAAATTTCCACTATAATTCACCTAAATATTGTAGACAAAAGAAAATTGTATGTTATTTATTTTCTTATTATTATATACAGTATACAACGTATAATTAAATAGGATAGCAATCGACAGTAATCGATTTTAAAAAGGTTTCAAGCAATCAAAAAATTTTAGTTGCAAATTAATATTTTTTTATTTGATATTATTTAATTATAAAAAGGCTATAACTTCAACTCATATAGCTGAAAAATATTTTTTAACATATTAAATATAATTAAAAACAAACACATCAGTAATTAAGTTACGATTTTTTTAATAATATGTTTATTATTTTTCCAATAAAAATTTTTAATATAGAAACAAAATAATTACATATAATCACAACATAATTGTTAAAATTGAATAAAATGTAACCAAAACATTTTGAGAAATTTCGACTATATAAATTTAATTGATTCTTAACTAGTTTACTAATTATTTGTAAGCTCGTTTATTTTACATTAAATAATAATTATTGGAATTCCACAGATCATCAAGTTTACAAGACGCATTTTATTTATAAATGAAAAAAAAAGCTAATTATTTCTGTTCAAACATTGGATCGATTTTAATTAACGAATTTCAATTTATTTTTAAGTATAAATCATATATAATTACTGAGGTGTGTTTTTCTAAAATAAAGGAAATTGTAATAATTATCTAAGTGATACAATATGAATTTAAGCTACTATGAAAAATATAAATTAAGTATTTTTCATTATTTAGGTAGCATACATAGTTCAGTCGTTAATGTCTAGTGAAGTTAGATTTTGTTGCGCTGGTGTTCCAACCGTCCTCTCTGGCACAAGTAAAAACTTTAGAGAGGATGTTAAACACGATCATAAAATAACTATTAAATGAAAATCTCAAAAATAAGTAAAATATTTCTTATATGAGTGAAATATTTATTCAAGAATAAACGAATAGAATATGTATTTATTTTTAGAAATAGTACATATTATNAAATAAATAAATGAAAACGTATGAATATGTATTTATTTTTAGAAATAGTACATATTATTCTAGAAATTTTTGACACCTGGAAAGACATTTAAAAATTAATCAATTGGAAGAATGATATTGTTTTTATGGAATTCAGTTTATATGAATACATTAAACAGAACAATTTAATAAACGTCAAAAGTATATTTAATTCATATATTTTATTTAAAATGATGACACACACTTTTGTATATCTATTAAATCTTTGTTTTTGTGGCAACATAATAGAAATATATATATCAAATATTTAAAATGCAAAGGATATAAATAAAACATAAAAATAATTTCGTTAAGTGAATAGTAAGACTGAAAATTAATTGCAGTTCTATTTGGAATAAAGAAAAGATTGCTAGAATAACTCATAAAAATAATGAAAAATGGACTTTATTTTACTTGAAGTTAAATGGAAATTAACATATTTAAACTTTATTTTCTCAAAGTAAAGTAATTTTTGTTACACTTCTTATATTCTAAGGATTTCATATATAGTATTAACTTGAAAAACGCTTAGTTTTTTAAAATTTAACAAAAATTTTAAATTGTTGACTCCATAAAAATTGGGTTTGAATAAGTTATAAATTAATAGGTTGGTTCTTAGCTACACATAATAATTATTATATTATAAACTTGATATCAGGTATTCTGAATTTTGTCCTATACAGTAAAAAGAAAATTTGGTAAAGTTGAATGCTCAAGTCAATCCGTTTATGTGCCTTAAAATGGTTGAATATTATCGGAAAGGGGTAGAAATTTAGTGTTTCATATGGATTTGTTTAAATATTAAAAATAAAAAAAAGGACTCAGAATCAATATTGTAATAAATAATGTTGTATAAAAATAGGGTTACGACCTTGTAGTTACTAAAACGTCTAATTTATAAAAATATTTATCTGTAACATGGTTTACCAAACAAAAGTCTACTCAACGAATATGTTTATTACACGGTTGTCGTGTATACTATCTAATGCTGTTATATAATATTAATATTTATAATTTAACTTAATTTTTAATGTAAATATCTGATTTATTTACTGATTATAGATCGACTATGAGTTATATTATCTCACAATGAAAATATTTCTTAGTATTCAAAAATTAAATATAATATCAAAGAAATATAAATATAAATGATGAACTTATATACTAGCACTGTTTTCTAAATGATACATACAACTCTACATGTGTATCAATAAATAATGTTTAACATAATTATAATAACATAATAAAAAATTTACGTCATTATCTACCTAACTATTGATATTCATGTTAGAAAAATAGTCAACAGAATTAGAGAATGGCCATAAAATTTGTAATTTATTTACTTTAATAAATAAAATGTTAATATAAACTTTATAGAGTAGAGTGATAGGAACCGAAATGATTTTTGATATGACAAAAGTTTATATTTTTTTAATAATTTCAGTAAAAAACAATTTTTGCTAATCAATAATTTAAGAGAATTTGATCAAAACATTTATAAGAAAAACTATTCATTTAGTTTTTGAATTTTAACTATTTTCTATCACTAAAATGATAGCTAAACATTGAAAAAAAAAACTTCTTCCTCACTTTAATCCCAACTACTTGGGGTCGGCAACCCTTATCCTAAACTTCCACTTAACACGATCTCCCACATCATCTACGCTCACATCAGCTGTCCTCAAATCGCATTCAATAGCATCCCTCAATCTCTTTTTTGGTCTTCCTCTACCTCTTCTTCCTTCAACATTCATTTCTATAACTGTTCTTACAGCTTCCGATTTTTCTGTCCTCATAACATGACCAAACCATCTAAGTCAATTTTCTCTCATCTTATCCACGATTGACACTACACCTATACTCCCTTTTATATGCTCATTTATTATCCAATCTTCTCTAGTCACTTCACTCATCCATCTAAACATTCTCATCTCAAAACATCGAAAAAAATATTAATACAAAATTAATCATATAATATAATCATAATTAAACATGCAATTAATTAATAAAGATATATCAGTCAAAAACTTAAATACAGAAATAAAAATCAATCTAAAATTTCGGTGTAGATGTAAGTTAGATTTTTTCCTGAAAAAAACATTATTGAAAATACATGAGTTCAAACAGCTTATTGTGCTAATTTAAATTTTGTCTTTAGAATTTATCTACCGTATCTAGTTTTCGAGATCATTTTACTCATTTGTAAACTAATGAAATTATATATACAATTAAAAAATATTAATTTGTAATTTCATTTATTTGTCAAATGAAGAATTTTTTTTATGTTCATCACTTAAACCTTATAAAAGTAACAAATTAAATTGTATAAATAAATATTTATAATGAACTAGAGTATTAATTAGGTAATGACATAATTTAAAAAATTATTAGTCTGTAACAGATATTTAGCACTTATGATTTTATTTTTTTTTATATTTTTATATTGATGATTTTTATAATAAACAACATTATTATGGGAGATGATGGATATAAAACACCAATACACATATGAAACATTAACTCAAATTAGTAGAATAATAGATTGCGCATAGGTCTATTCAATTTTACTTGACTAGCCAATGAGAAGGATTTTGCAATTAAAATATAAAACATTAAGTTTCCCCCTCATAAAACAGGCCTATAAAAGAGCAATTTCTAGCTCATTCGCCACCTTTTTTTTTCTCTAAAAAAATCTGGTCATTAAGTGTTTTCTGCACCAGATTATTTCGCGTTTTGTACTTAAAATCTTTTTACACTTGGTGTTTATTATCTGAATCTCTCATAAGTAATGTCATTTTGAAAGAATAACTTAACCTTTTTATCTTTTTATTTTTATTTAGTTTTGAATATTTATAAAATATTAAGACGCATTAAATTTTTATTTTGTGTTTTGTGAGTTGTTTCAATTAAGAATTTTTTTAATTCTTCAATTGAAGTGTCTATTTAATAAGTGCATTTCGAAAATCTACCTTAGCACATCTAGCGGTTAAAACTATTGCAATATTATAGTTTGTGACGTGTCACTAAGGAGATCGTAGAATGTATTTTAAATTTAAATAGATACGTGTTTGATTGATTGCACAAGATACTGATGGTTTGTTGAGATCATTACCCTAGCACATCTAGCGGTTGAAATTATTGGTAAAACAATAGTTTATAACGTGTCACTAGGGATTGGTTCTCATAAGCTATCTGGTTATATAAATATTTATTTTAAAATATAAAGTAACATATATACTCAGACACCAAGTATAGAAAGGAACTACAGTGAAGTAATATTTCAAGATTAATAATATGCATAATTTTACAAAATAAATAAGTAGATAAAAGTCAGTGCTCTTTTTATTTATATTATTCTTGCAACAAACGATCAAGCTAGCTGGACACAAGGTAAGAAATTACATTTCTAAGCATGTCATAAAAATTAAGGATAGTATTAAGAGGAATCAAGAATAACTTTTATCGAAGGAATAATAGAATTGTTAAAGGTGAATAATTTGAAAAGAGGGATATTATTAATAACTATTTTCTCACCATTCGGATCATAATAGTGTGCGTTCAACGAAGATGTTTTAACTTATACGCATACATAAAGAAAACAATTTAGCCATTAAGGCTTGGCGCCCAACAACTGGACACTTGCAGTTTACGTAAACACACACAGTTTATTATTTCTATAATACAACCACTAAATATTAAGAGTCGTAAAATTCTTCTACTTAATCGTTGCACGTTTCATTGTGCGTCATACAGAAGTGATTTACTTGCGATCTATATTTTACGACAAAATAGGAGTGGTCATTATATCAAAACAGAGAATTTATGATTATATGCCATATGCTTTTATTTTCATTTTGCAGCTAAACAAATTTCAAAACTCCGGTTAACATAATATTTATACTCATATTCAATTTAATTATCCTCTTATTGTTTTTCATGTCAAAAAAAATTATTTCTTTCATTTCACCATCCCAATATACAAAACATTAACCTACTTAACACTTTTTTTTATGACAAGTCGATAACAACTATTGGATCAGTATTTCTAAAGTTATTAATAATTAAAAGTAAGGAATGGGTGCAGCTATTTTTATCACTTCACTTTTCTCTATCTATCTTTTCCTCTAATCTAGCTTTAAAACGTTAATAAACACTAAATCAATACGTTCCAAAACGACAAGTGATCAGTTAGTTCATCTTCTACTTCTTCCTCACGTCAATCCCCACTATTTGGGGTTAGCCACCCTTATCCTAAATTTCCACTTCATACAATATACCATATCACCTACGCACATATCAATCGTCCTCATATCACATTCAATAATATCCCACTATTTCTTTTTTGGTCTTTCTCTAGAACCTTAGTGCACTCTTATTCTTACTCTAAAATTATCTATTACTCTTACACTTTTTACCCTGGTACAAATACCATCATATTATCCTCTATTGTATTAATGTAACTGTTTGGGATTCTTTTTCTTATTAGTGCTTACTTAGAACCTATCTCGGTATTCTATCATCACCATCATCTATTAAAGGCAATGCTTTGTCGTTGATCTGTGCGATGACCTTATTTTTTTTTCTTGATTCAATCACCTTCATTAGTTTTCTTTCTTATCAATTTTCCACGTTTCACTGCTACATGAAAGCACACTCCAGAACAATTTTTTGACAAATCTTCTACGAGTGCCAATGCTCAGATGTTTATTGGTGAAAAGCTGATTCTTGTTTTGGAATGTTTGCTTTGCCAATGCTATTATTTTTCTGATGTCTGGAGTTGATTTATTATTGGTTATTCTGTCATACGCTTTCCTAATTTTATAAATATCATACACACCTTTTTCTTATTTCCCCCATATTTTTCTATTAGTTGTCCACACAAAATAATGGCTCCGTCATTGACTTTTTAGGTAAAAAACCAAACTGTTTCTTTGTTACTGATGTTTTTTCTTTTATTATTTTGACTATTACCTATTCTCAATTCTTCATAATATTAATCATAAGCTTTAAGACTTTATAATTTCCACATTTCTTTATAACTCTTTTACCTTTAATATTGGCACCACAATACTATTCCTCCATTCTACTGGCATTTTCCTTTTTAATAAGATTTTTTTTTAAAGATTCTTCCTTATAAAGATTACCTTATGCCAACACTGCCTAATATTTTCAATCTACTGGCACTCATCGGGTCTTAATATTTTATTCTTTTTCAATAATGCTACAGCCTCCCTTACCTCTTTCTCACTAATTCATCTTCAAGTCCTCGTTCCACGAGATAAATTCAAATGTTTTTTTGAATACTACTCATTCAGTAATTTCTCAAAATACTCTTTCCCCCCTTTTATTTTTGTCATCATCACTCGATAGCACCATCTTATCATCATTTTTTATACACCTTATATAGTAATAATCTTTAGACCTATTTTCTCGTACTTTTGCAAGTCTATTGACTTGTTTTTCATAATTCTTTGTTTCTATCCTATCATAAAATTCATCATACCTCTTCAAATTCGCCTTATTTACAGCACCCATGGCTTCTTTGCACAAGCGTTTATACTCAATGTAATCTTATCGGTAATCTTCTAGTTAAATAAGTTAAAAGACAGAAAAATTCAGCTTCAAATATTGAAAATGAATGGAATACTGATGAAGCTAGGTTATTACTTAACTAGCTAAGTAAAAACAATACCTATGTCAATGTAACAAAGAATACAGGAAGCATAAAAAGATTTCCATCAATACAAATTTAGTTAGCTAAGTAAATACAATAAAATCATGGGCTTAAAGCTGAAAAAATATTGGGATCATAAATAGTCTCAGTGAATTTGTGAGCATAGTCGACAGTTATGCTCGCAGTTATGTTGGATAATGTCATCAAAGTTACAACTTTGAATATAAAATACAAGAGAAGAAATAGATTGTTGCCATGTATTCCAATGATACTAACAGATATGCAATTTCCATTTAAACGTTTGCAGTTTCCGATGTGACTCACTTTTGCAACGACCATCAACAAAACACATCGGCAATCGTTACAGCTGTATAAACTAGAATAGGAGAATCCGAGTTTCTTGTACGGAAAACTGTATTTAGCTAGCTTATACATCAGAAAACCTGAATTTTTCGTGTACTCACCAAGCGGAAAAACAATAATTATCGTATATCTAAAAATACTCGAATATATAAATGGAATGTATTAGAGAATAATGAACAAGTTTAAATAAAAAGAAATCCACTGTTTATTGGATTTTTGAGTTTCTCTAAGTTTCATTTTCTCTACAATCGCAGAAAAGTGAGACAGGTAAGCTAGTATAGATTTATTTAATAACGTAAATTTAAAAAAGTTGTATATTATTGTAAATGAAAAATAAATAAATTTGCACAAAGTAATCACTCAATGGAATAATTAAAATTACTGTACTAAACCTGCGTCCATTATAATGTATAATAATTTCCTTAATGATAAACTCTGAAACAAGTTGAAAAAATCAACATTATTATTAAGACAAAAATATGTGTGAATATTCTAAATTAAATAATAAGCTAAACATATTAATTGAGCAAATATTTAAGCATTTTATGGCCATTATACATTTAATAAAAACTTGAGATTAATTAAAACGTTACTAGCAATATAATTTCACATAAAACAAGTTAATACATATATTTTAAAAGCAACTTGGTTGGAAATGATGTATGCGATAAACATTAATTCAAAAAGCTTAAAATAACTTCTACTAATTATGTCATTATTTATAAAGATCGTTTAAACTTAATTTTAAGATGCCTTAATTAGTGACCATAAGGACAAAATATAAAAAAAATGAATGTTTGAATAACATAAGAATCTAAATTACACAGATTAATTTATGGTATCATTACATTGAAACAATAAAATAAAGAGATAATAAAATCAGTAAATGTTGACATATTTAAGCAGTGCAATGTTCTAATGCTCTTTTTTTTCAAAATCCTTACATTCTCCCCTATTATTTTATAAAATTGTATGTATAACAGTATATAAACTTAACATTAAAATAACCTAACAAATTTAAAAAGACGACGGTTACTATTTATAAAATGAGTGTTTGAAGGATACATACATATTAAAAAATCAGTGTGATCTAATGTTTTGTGTACTGAGATATTGGAATTTTAAATTTCAAAATGCTATGTTATTTTACAAAACATCATAACTACAAGAGCTATTACTTTCGCATAAACTGCTTTTTTCATTAGTTCAACGGCTTAAAATATACATTATGACATATTGAATATTTTTTACCAAAATCTTAATTTTATGAAAAAGACTCTCCTTGTTTTTTCTTTCTACCCTTCATGTATTAATTATTCAAACATCTATCTAAATTTTATATGTAAAAGACTTCAGTCTAACAATTTTAAGGCAAATTCTGTATTTTATTTTTAGTATTAAAATATTAATGTTTTTTTTTTTGAAATGGGAAGTATCACAACTTGCCACATCTGATTATATTTATTGAATTCATACAAGAATTATTAAGCTCACGGATCATACATCTCCAAACATTTCTGATTAAGATAATTAGAAGCGTTAGATATTTTACATAGCGTTGTTCATTAATCTAATGCAATGAAGTGGAGCAGTAGCTGTTAGCAATTAGTCAACGCGTAGCTTCGCTTTAAATAGAAAATTTCATCTTGTACAATCTTTAAGAATACACGAATATCACGTTTATCCAGGATAATCGAGGAATTCCTTTTGCTTCTGATTATTATTATTATGTTTCATTTTGAAAAATTGGTGCACCATTCCAAAAGCTACATAATCTCATATTTCCTTATTTATATCTTGATTACAAGTTTTATGATTTATATGTGTAATATATAAATAAATATATAAAGGGAAATGTTTTTTTTTTAAAAATATGTCGAATGAAAGAGGTATAATGATAGTATTTATCATAAAAAAATTGTATTGATCCATATATTTTTTAAAAGTTATAGAGCATTATAAAATTAAAAATATAAAGAAGAATATTTTTACAAAAATCTTATTTTTTTATTAACTTTGATGTCTATTTTTACCATGAAAATAAAATAAAATCTGAATTTTTTTTTTTGTATTATCATATATTACATAAGCTTTAATTTAAGGTATATATAAAAGTGTCAGCATTTCCGGAATACTTACAAAAGTTAAGCTGAAAAAGTTAATTTTTTATGAAAAAGTTGTAATTTTGTATTCCCCTCTGTGGACAAGTAAAGGGTCAGATTTATAAAAAAAATTCTGGAGATTTCCCCCATTTACGGAGCACGAGGGATATTTTTACTATTTTTGAGGGTAAAGTCTTCGACTAGGTACGATTTGTGATATCTTGACGTATCGTTGAAAAAATTCGGTTCGATGAGAGCTGAGAAAAAATGGTAACAGACATAAAAAAAAAAAAAAAAAAAACATAGTAAAATTAACACCTTCTTAGCTACATATCGAAATTAAAAAAAAAAATCGTAATACTTTACATCCACGCTAAAGTGCATTAAAATCTCAATATGTTTAAATAAATTTCTTGGAAATAATTTTGTTACTTAAAAAGAAGAACTTAAATAAATTATTTTTAGTTTATGATAAATTATTATGGTATTCTATATTGATATTATCTATCAAAAAAATACTAAAACAATTTAAATTATTCTTTTTTATGTTAATTATTATAGTAAATATAAATATTCATTGAAACTTCAATAAACTTAATGTTTCGAATTAAAATCTTCTAGTTACTTGTAGCTAAGTGTTATAAATTCAAAAAAATTTTCGAAATAATTCTTAAACTTTAATAAATAGATTTTTTTTTAACAAAAACCTTGATAACTCCGATACTTCAATTATTCAAACCTTTAAATAAGTCGATATAATAATTTCAATTGAACTTACCAATGTTCTATTGTACTTTCAAACTATTTATTGTTTATTATTGAATGGTCAGTTTTTTATTTAGATCATGTTCCACATAATTGTATAATTATAGTTAATGCTTCCCATTTTACCAATACTAGTCTAAACATTTTTTTTTGCAAGACAAATTTATAAATAATAAATTACTGAAACATTTTTTATATATAATTTAGATTTAATATTTGTTTTTTCTATCAAAGTGTTAATGATTTATTTTATCTTAAAACTCATAAAAAGAAATGGTGAAACAATTAACAAAAGTAATTATTATAGGTATAAATTACAAAAAAAAAATATTTATAAGTTTTATATATTGAAAATTCTAATAACTGTGAATTTTTTATTTTATTTTTTGTTACAATGCCCACATTAAGTATCGTGTTTTACACAAAATCAAGAAAATAACTAAGCACACATGTTTAAAACTTGTTAAATGTTGTCGCACAACAGAAGTTTCGTAAAATTATCAAATCGGAAATTAAAATTTAATAATAAAAAAAGAATATTTTCTCAGGTTTTTTTACTTGGGTTTTCATTTTAATAGATGATTATAAAATTAAAATTTTTACGCTGCGATGTTTTTTTTTTGTGTGGTTTCCTACAAGATAAATCAATTATTAAATTATTAAATTAAAATTCAATTTTACAACTTTTTGTTTTCTTTTCATATTAAGCATAGTTTACCCAAATTATTTAACTTTATTGTTGCTCTTTAATATTCACGTAGGTTTACGATGGCGTGTTACGCTGTCATACTAATTTATAGTGTTTCAAGTTCATTTTGGCGTGCCAGTATTTCCCCTTTTTCGGCTATTTATGAGTGTAACCACTAACCTTTACTATGTAAATCAAGGTGGGTAAATCTTTATGGTTTCAAGAATTCTAGTATACAAAAGGACTTCCAAACAAATTAAAAGTTAACTCCTCCTTTATTTTATTTTAAATACATCCAGAACGCATATAAATGATATAACAAAACCCTAATTCATTTTGTAGGGTTATTATTTATTAATTATATGGTAATTTTTTTAATTAAATTTTAAAGTTAAAACAAAATATCATTATGTAATAATCATTCATAAAGTAAAAAAAAAATCATCGAATTATGCTAATCAAAAAGGATTTCATTTAGTTAACCAACGTTGTAATCAATTGTGGTTTACAAATATTTTCCTAATTTGTTGATTAATAATCATTATTAAAAATATTTTCTCATTTATTTATAAGTTTTATTTTGGACTTAATAATCAATCATTTTGTATCGACAAAATATTATGTCATTGAAAAACTTTTCTACAAAATCATGAAAAACGAATTATGTAACATCTATATGTTACAAGTAGTTTCTGATAACTGATAGTACATCTTTAGACTCGTTGAGCATTTATTTCTTAATGCGCATTTTGAAATACCTACTACAAACCATAGTTTTTGGATTCTATTTTACTGAAATAGTGTTTGTGACCCTAATATTACAAAAGCTTCCTTAGTATTGCATTTCTTTTATTTTTGTTTTTTCTTGGTATTTTTTCTATTGGGTATCTCGTTAAAACTTCATAAATTTATTTTTCTATGAGATGTTAATAGTTATACAAAATTTAATTTGTTCAATAAGCTTAATATATAAATATTGGATCCAGATAGAAAAATTCTTATTGACAACACAATATATTACGTTTGTATTTTTGTTTGGTATTCAAAAAAAAAAATCTAGATTCATACATTTATTACAATTTGTATATTTAAAATCATTGGTTAAAGAAAAAATATAAAGTTAATTTTATTATAATTATTTATCGATTGGTTTTAACAAATTTTTGAATAAATATTCGTTTTATCATTTTTCTATAATATATGTGTAATAAACAAAAATTTAATATTAAGGAAGTGGGTGAGTTGTTATTATATGAGAAGGTCTAGGGGTTTGACGTGTATAGTAAAGTCTAGTCTTAATAATTTCAACGACTCAATAAAGTTATTTCTATTTTACCCATTTCTATTCTTGTTTATAACATGAAGTTTTAAGAAATAAAGTATGCAAATAAATATTCGCACTCGCTATTGTTTCCATTCTTTGTTATTTGAATTGATCTTGTATAAACTTCTCAGAGATAATTTTTTTAATAATATCTTCGATAAATTCTATTTAGTCGATATCGATATTCTTAAAACTCACTCTGAACTTGTTAAAATAAAATAATAAGAATATGTCTATCTTATTCAAACTGTAATCGACGAGACTGGTAGCTCAGCGATTTTCAAAGATAAGTCTTTGCTGGCGCGGACACGGTTAAATTCGTTAATATATGTTAAATATTATTACAATGCACCTCTTGATATCCTTTACATCAACTGCTTACCAAAAAGAAAAGTTTACGACTGGCGGGTGTACACGGACATGAAGTACTACTGCTATTTTAATTAATATTAATTACATTACTACGCTTCTTTACTTTGTTTTATGAATGAAGACCACAATGGTATTTAAAACTATTTACCGAAAACATGACTATTTTACCTGAATAAATAATGTTTTGCTTTTTCGCTCTATCCAACACATTTAAAGCTGTCCAGGAATGTAGGACACAAAAATATTCGAAATGATTAAATATTTAAAATAATATTAATTTGTCATGAGGATATTTAGTTAAACATGAAACAAAATAAGATTTAATATTGGGTAAAATATTTTAAATCATCTAAAACTAAGTCCTAGGGACAAAATATTTATTTATACTGACACAAATTCCATGTAAGATAATATTAACCAAGAAACGTACAGCCCTTTCCTTTTAGGAAAAAATGTATCCAAAATCTTTAAAGTCTAAATAGCCGTTGAACACATCAAATCTTTTTAAATGTCAAAGTCAATAATTTTATACTTATAACGAATTAGTAAGTGAAGAAAAATACTAATTTTGTAATTATATTAAAATATGGTCTACAGTTATAAAACATTATAATATTTTCTGTTAAGAGAGAATGGGGCAAGTTGACACCTTTAAGCTTTATTTGAATATCTTAAAGAAAATATTTACCATTAAAACATAAAATTTAGTTGATACATTGAGACCGCAATTCGTAAAAAGTTAACTAATTAATTAATTAATTAGTTTTTTAATTAAATAAAAAGATAAGTTTAATATTAATTAATTAATATCAAATATTTTAAGTATTATTAATTAGTTACGAAAATTCGTATTTTTGTCTCAAGCGTATTTCATATTATTAACATTTTTAAACATTGGTGGGAGAAGGGGTGTAGTCAAGAATGGTTAAGTAATAAAAATAACATCAACCACTCCTTATCTCATTACTTTAAATTGTAATAACTTCTGAAATACTGGTTCAAAAGTTGTTATCATTTTCTTAATTAGATTACTATCTAATAAATAAAATAATTAATTATGTGTTGTCATTAAAAAAAAAAAAATTGACACCGCCATATGACATAAGTGATGAACATAATATAAAAAAATATTTTTTAACAAATACATGAAGATACATATGCAGTCTAAAAAAAGTAAAATTTGCAAAAAATTATTATTTTAAGAAAAATTAAGTCGTTAAACTTAACAGAATCACCCAACACTCATTTTCCATAGACAATTAAAACAAAATTTAAAACAAAAATATGACATATTGTGTGTCATTTAAATTATATCTGAAAAATTTGCCATTTTTTTGTTAATATATTTGGAAATATATCTCAAAAAGTTTACTAACTGTACTGTAATATTTTAAATCCAAAAAAATCAATCGAATGAATTGATCAAGTCTTAATCCTATATAATTTTGATCTTAATTCAAACGAAACATGATTTAATTATGAAAATACAGTTACAAATAAAACTCAGTTTATTATAATATAAAAATATCCCAGATTGTTTGGTGATAGTGATAAAGAGACAAACGACTATTTGGTTGATATAATTTAATGGCATTCGTTCGCTGTACGCCTTCATGCGTTTACTGACAATTCCTTATCAGGTCGATTTATAAAAGTATAAAGGTGTATTCGGTACTATATATCCTTTGAAATTGAAAATAATAACAGTAATGACAAAAGAAGAATATTAATAAACTATAAGAATTTCCGTCAAACAGAAGAATCTGCACTGTATTGATATTGTATTAAAAGCTCCTTCCTTCCGGACCAACAAACTTCTAATGTTACGGTATGGTGGCATCAACAATTACTACTCAATGCCTTTCCAATAACATTTTAAAGTAAACATAAGCTTCAAATATTATATAAACTGTTCAACCAGCATATTTGTGCAATTTATTTATTGTGAACAATGTTCATACCAAATCATTGAAGTAAATTAAGTAAATTAATAAATTTAGTAATATTTAAATACTAACGAATTCGTATAAAATACAAGTTTTGGTTACATTTTATTTGAAAAATTACATATTCACAGGTATATTATCAAAAGATTCGAAATCATTTATCTTAAACAATCGTGTTTAAAAAAATTTCATAATTAATTTATTGTGATAGATAATTTTAGCTCTAATTTTAAGCTGTTTTAAAACTAAAAAGAACAATTAAAGTTGAAAATGTTTTTTGTACTATCAAATTTATCTATTTTAATACTTCAATTTTTTTTGAAAAATAATCTCAAATCTGAGATTTTTTAAACTTATAATTTGCTGAATTATTAATAAAGTTTTTCTTAAAGATTACATACTTCTTCATAAAATTTATTACACCCAGCAAAAAATTAAATGTATGTGTTATAAGCAGCCATAAAATAACATGATCATATTAAAACATGTATGAAGGAACAAAAAGTAGAAATATAAAATGGAAGTTTCTAGATTCAAATTTTCTGTTTTGGAAGTTGATACGCTATTGTACTGAGTAACTCTCGGAATTAAGACACAAATAATTAATGTTACTTCAAAAGGGTGTATTTCGTTTCAGTAAACACAGCATAATATTAAAATTGAAAATTATCTTTAGTTTATTTGGCAAACACAAGTATAATATTTATATATAATTATACTATAGATATATTATTTCACATTTGATCATACATTAATTAAGTCACTTTAGAAAAATTTTAAATTTCAAAATATTTTACTAAACAATTTTATTTTGATTAATATTGATGATATATTTTTTTATAATTAAAGTACATTGTAATTAAAAACAAAATAGTAAAAAAATATTGTAGATGAAATTGAAAATTCATAAAATAATACAGAAATACTCGTCAACTGAAAACTTTAAAATTCTTAAGGATAATTTTCATTTGTATGTAATTCAAAGTTTGGCATTAATTTTTTTTTTAGTTTCGATCACTTTGAAAATCTTGAAACACTGTATAAGTTGAAAGCCAAAATTTTTCAGCTAAAATGATCATGGATTTTACTTAAATTTAATAGACTTGAGTATTATTTACAGCTGAAAATGTAATTAAGTTTCATTATTTGGATTACTTAACAAACTACACTTTTTTAGTCTAACTTTTTTTAGGTCTAACAGCTCTTTTTTTGTTCTTAAATCTAATATTTGATCTGACTTTTTTATCAGTCTTATCATTTATTGAACTAGAATAGGTTTTATTCCTTGTTTGCAAGGTAAATAGCATTTCTGGATCTATAAAGTTAGAATTCGGCAAGCGCTTTCGTCTTCCTGGCTTATATTTGTACTTTAAGTAAATGGGATTTGGCTCTACAGGTATTATAGAACATTTAATGGTTCCCACATGATCACGATAAATTTTCTTGGAAGGAAATTGCTGGTAGCATTTCAAACAAACGATATTTTTGTTAACGATGTCAAAGTCCTTGTTTGGAAATAATTTAATCAAGCCTTTTTTTAAGAAAAAATTTTCATATCCAGTCTTTATACTATTATTCTTTTCAAAAAGATCTTTAAATGGACCCGTTGGAGTTAAAATTATCTGAAAAACAATATTTATTCTTGTAAATAATAATTATTTTAAAATTAAAAAAGTAAATTCCTATTTTAAGTAACTAGTCATAAAAGAGGTATGATAGGGCTGTGTTGGAATCGCGAAAATTGGAATCACTGTCACGGGCAGCTCTATTTATTAAGCGAGAAATCATTACAGCGTTTCCAATTGCTGTCTCTCTTTTCAATGACGGACTTCAATGAACGGTTAAGAAACTTGCTTTTTGTTAGAGTTATAATGACCCTTGGTGAGCCATTGAAGCAAAAAAAAAAATAATAATAATTACATGAAAACATATGCACAATATTACCTTTTGAGAAATATCCGGTTGATTAACTGATCTAAGACCCAAAACACCTAGACAATAACACTTAATAAAATATTCTTTATCCATTTCATGCGTTTCTTAAGCTCAGTTTAAGATATATAATAGAATACTTCACAGATTGTGAAAAATTCTGTCAAATTTTTAATAATCCATCTTATTTATACTTATATAAATATCTTGTTGATAAAAAGTTGCTATGGTTGTGTCTTAAATAAAAAATCGTTTTTTTATAATTATTATTAAACCAGTGTAAAAATTAACTTTACTTGAAATGAGAAATATAATTAACTAAAATTGACGATTAATTTAAATAGTAATACAGTCAAATTTGCCAACTAAGACAGTAGTTAAGCTTGTTCTAGCTAAATATTTTACAGATTTCATCACTTAATTTTTATGAACAAACATTTTGTGTTCCTTAACAATACTTGCAAATATTTCACTAGTTCTATTAATGATTGATACGACTAAAACAATAATGGATATTTAACTTACTGAGTTTAAACACCACCCCAAGTTGGACCATTTGACAGTACTTTTAATTGCATTTAGATGTAAATTTTATCAAATTTTTAAAGTCGTAGTAAATTTCATTAATACCGTTATGTACTTATTAGCATAAATTATTTTTGCTGAATTTTTCGACAAAGTTTTTAAAGTTAAAATATCTTTTTTTTTTAGATTATAAGTGGTTAAATTTGTTTCCATTCTGTTTAATTATTAATCCAAATTATTAGGTTCGATGCAAAGCTGAGAAGGTATTGATTTTACTAAGATGTGATTATTTATTTTTTTTTTTTTGATTCTGTTAGATATTTACCTTTCATTTGATATAATTTTTTTGAAAATCTATCACTTAACCTGCTCATTGGGGGGAATTAAAAATGCAACTTTTTTACAAAAATTAACTTTTTCAACTTAATTTTTAAAAATGTTCCAGAAATACTGCATCCTTCAAACATATATCAAATTAAAGCTCATTTTATGTTCTATAAAATAAAAAAAAATTTGTCCCGACACTTTATCTTCTACATTTAAACAGCTGCCGTAGTTAAAAAAACACTATTTTTTGTTAAAATTTTCGATTTTCGATTTTAAATTTTCAACTTAAAAATGCTCTAACTTTTTGAAAAATGTATATATCAGCACAAATTTTTTTTTTCTAAATACATTATAAGTACATCTTTCATTTGACATACTTTTTATTAAAATTGGACAATTTTCCCTTATATAGGGGGCGTTCAAAACTTAAAATATTGTAAAAAACATAGATCTTTTTCAACTGAACTTTTGAAAATGTTCCGGAAATACTGCGTCCTTTAAACATATATCAAATTAAAGCTTATTTTATGTACTATAAAATGAAAAAAAAAAATTTGTCCCGACACTTTTTTTTCTACATTTAAACGGCTGCCGTAGTTAAAAAAACACTATTTTTGTGTTAAAATTTTCGATTTTCGATTTTAAATTTTCAACTTAAAAATGCTATAACTTTTTGAAAAATGTATATATCAGCACAAATTTTTTTTTTCTAAATACATTATAAGTACATCTTTCATTTGACATACTTTTTATTAAAATTGGACAATTTTCCCATATATAGGGGACGTTCAAATCTAGAAATATTGTAAAAAACATAAATCTTTTTCAACTGAACTTTTGAAAATGTTCCGGAAATACTGCGTCCTTTAAACATACATCAAATCAAAGGTTATGTTATATACTATCAAATGAAAAAAAAAAATTTGTCCCGACATCTTATCTTCTATGTGCAAATGGCTGTCGAAAATTTAAAAAAAAATGTAATGTTTGCGATAAAAATTACATTTTATCGGGATGTTTTTTGTACTTAAAACTGCCATAACTTTTTCAAAAATGAACAAATAAAAATAATATTTTTTTGTATTGAAACCTTAGATATTTCCCTTTCATTTGATATAATTTTTTTTGAAAATCTAACACTTATTCTGCTCACTGGGAGGATTTAAAATAGTAACTTTTTTACAAAAAATAACTTTTTCAACTTAATTTTTGAAAATGTTCCGGAAATACTGCGTCCTTTAAACATATATCAAATTAAAGCTTATTTTATGTACTACAAAATGAAAAAAAAAAATTTGTCCCGACACTTTTTTTTCTACATTTAAACGGCTGCCGTAGTTAAAAAAACACTATTTTTGTGTTAAAATTTTCGATTTTCGATTTTAAATTTTCAACTTAAAAATGCTATAACTTTTTGAAAAATGTATATATCAGCACAAATTTTTTTTTTCTAAATACATTATAAGTACATCTTTCATTTGACATACTTTTTATTAAAATTGGACAATTTTCCCATATATAGGGGACGTTCAAATCTTGAAATATTGTAAAAAACATAAATCTTTTTCAACTGAACTTTTGAAAATGTTCCGGGAATACTGCGTCCTTTAAACATACATCAAATCAAAGGTTATGTTATATACTATCAAATGAAAAAAAAATTTGTCCCGACATCTTATCTTCTATGTGCAAGTGGCTGTCGAAAATTAAAAAAAAATGTAATGTTTGCAATAAAAATCACCTTTTATCGGGATGTTTTTTGTACTTAAAACTGCCATAACTTTTTCAAAAATGAACAAATCAAAATAATTATTTTTTGAATTGAAACCTTAGATATTTCCCTTTCATTAGATATAATTTTTTTGAAAATCTATTACTTAACCTGCTCATTGGATGGGATTTAAAATAGTAACTTTTTTACAAAAACTAACTTTTTCTACTGAACTTTTGAAAATGTTCCGGTAATACTGCATCATTTAAACATATGTCAAATTAAAGCTTATGTCATGTACTATAAAATTTAAAAAAAAAAATTCGTCCCGACGACCTATCTTTTATGCGCAAATGGCTACCGTATTCAAAAATATGCTATTTTAACAAATTTTTTTTTTATTTAAACAATATCTACAGATTTGCATCGAAGCGTTTTTTATGATAGTGATTTGAATCACTGTCAGATATCATTTATACTGGACCCAACTATGCCACGACCCCAGTGTGCCGCCACCCCTCTGTGCTGGGTTTTTACTTTTCATCACAACAAAAAATCAAAAATTGGTTAATACGTGTTTGAAGAACAATTTTCAACTTCGTAAATCTGATCTCCATACACGATGATTTTTTTTAAATGTTATCTACTAAATTTATCTTAAAATAATAATTATGTTCAGCAAATTATTTTTGGTACTTTTTATCTTCATATATTTCTTAAATTATGAATTATTAAATATGATTTTAAATTATCCCTAAACCTTAAAAGGATAACAATTTTGATTTTTTAAATGACAACATACATATTTAACTAGCTTATAAAATGATTTAATTAAAAAAATGACTAGTCAATAATAAATTGTTATAATTCAAATAAAAACATAAAAATGTTATAATAATGAAAGTGGGATTGGGATGTATATGGTGAGAACCTGATGTTGTTTGTGGTCCTATTTGGGTCGTATGGAGTCCGATGGTTTAGAACGACAAAGACAAGTAAATATAAAAATAATAAAATTACCTCTATTTGAGGTGTAACAAATTTTTGTCTGGTTAATTTCTAATGTCCTACCTAAGAGGCAACGAAATGGCGGAGCCAGTTCAGGAATACCATATAACGTCGTGATTATGTAAAATATATTAACCAATCAGTCAAAATTAACACTTTAAGATATTAATATAATGAATGTTCTATTACTTTGTCATCCTTTACTCAAACTTTTCAGGTCTAAATAATTGGGATAATATAAACTTACTTACTTCATTTTTTCACAACAATGAATTGTAAATCAAAGACAATTCGACAATCATTCTGATATATAGAGGTATCAAATTCGTAATTTGTCATATAATAATAAGTCAAAACAAATTATTTTCGTATATATGTAAGCAAGACGTTTAAAAATATAGCCAACATCAACATGGGATCGTGGCTAACAATTGTTTTCTTATTTGAATTCGGCAAAAGCGAACTGGTGTCTGAGATGATTTCAGTGCTTTTTATAGTAAAATGATAGTACCCCCAATCCAGGGATATTGTTGTCAGTGCTTTTAGTGATCTTTTTAGTTTATTGTATCTAATTATACATTACATGGTTATTATATTGAGATAGCATATTTAACAATGAATAAATTGAAATATTTATATAAATAATAAAAAATTGTGTTAAACAGTGTACATGTTATGACAGATAAGTTATTTGTTTGTTTACAAGTAATATAAAATACAGATTATAAATTTTTCATTGATAATTATCAATTACATTATAATGCAATATACGTATATGCCAAGCAATTATTTCGAAAGTTAAAATTATTAAAATATAATGTGGAGGTGATATTTGAGTTTTTTTATAATTACTTATTACATTGCTATGAGACGCCAATGTTGCGTTTTAACACTAGACATTCCTAGATTCCACTCCTCTTCCGTCTAGGTATAAAAAAATTCATAAATTTCAAAGTACTGATCCAAAAATATAATTTTTTTTTTTTGGAAATTGATCATAATGAAATTTCAAGATGTATTAAAATGTTATTAGTATCAATAAGAGATAGATTAGACACAATAAGCTTTTATTTGATATGATTTTTTAAATTAAATGAAAGGCTTGAGTATAGGATTGGATTCGATAAAAAGACCAAGAAATGAATATTTTTCTTAATTTTGTTTTTAAAAATATCAGGAAACGTTTACATTCTTTAAATCTATACCAAATTAAAGTTTATGAAATGACACTATGCTGTGTGACTTCACAGAAATGTTTTTTTTTTAATTTATTATAATTCTCGAACATAACAATCATTACTCTAATAACAAAATGTTTTAAAATTAAACATTTTTATCGTTACAACTTATTGCAGCCCATCAATTTTAACACCCATTAAAACGTGCCATCATAATTATTATTTTATTTTTTATCAATAAGAATAGTTTTGTATTTTCAATGCACAACGGTCGATTTGGTATTAATTTTTTTTCTTTTTGGAAATTTTACATTTAACAGATTTTGTATCGTAAACTTAGTAATGCGTGAAATCAAAAACGATCAAAAGAAATTTAATACAACGACGAAATACGGTTCGTGGTTTATGTACTTATTGCATCTTAAAAGAAACCATTTTTTTAGATAGTACTCACAAAAGGCTAGATATATAAATACCCACAACATTTAAATATGAGAATGTGTTTTTTTATTGGTTTATTCGCTCAGCTAAGAATTACGAAAAATATAAAGAATAATGCAACTGAACGTATTTGGAGTAAAAAAAAAGTTCATTTACATTCTTAAATTGCTGATATTTCTGATACATGAAGGCTATTCAAACGTTCTTCCAGTTTGCCGAACTTTGTGTTAGATTTACATAAAACACAATATAAAATACTAATTTTATCGATACTAAGATTGAAAAAAGATTCTGTATTGTTTTTAGAACAAAACAAATAAACTTTAAGTTTAATGAAACGGCAAATTACTTCTATCGTATTCAAATTAGACCTTTTTTTTTTTGTTAAAACTTATATCTATTTGTTAATGATAAAAATACTTACATTTATTGCTGAAAATTTTTTATAAATATTTCGTGAAAGCATACAG